GCTATATTTGGAACATTTCAAACTCTAGCTGTGACAACTAAGATGATCAAAACGTAATAAAGCTGTCTCAAGTGATCAAGTGTTCTAGAATATCGCATTCATGTACAAAATGTAGTTTTATAAACAGTAGTAACCGTTAATCGTACAAATAAACCATGTATATATTATAATTAATACCCTAGGGAATTGTAATTATGCAAATGAGTGTATATAGGGTCAGGGAGTGGCTACTCCAATCACTTCAACCAAAGGGCACAAGCAGTGTGGATGTCTGATAGTTTCTGTTACGCTTGCTGCCAGTCGAAAGTGTTATGGCTAATCGAGTCCCGGATACAAGCATTAGAAGTTGATGAGCAGAATCAGAAGGCGGCTGATAGACAGCAACAAGACGGACAGGTCGTGGGTCAAGAAGAGGCAAGATTTCAAGAGAAATATGGTGACTTGTAGCGTTAAGTTTCTTTTGGGGGTTCGAGGTAGTAGTATTTGAGGCTTGGAGTTTGTTTGAGCTAGAGTGCATTTGTCAGTATGTGTGAGTATGTTTAGAGTTGTGTGTTACGAGCGGTTTGCCGGGTGACAAGTTTTGAGCTTGTTTTCAACTTCTTGTATTTGTGTAAGTGCCACTTATACCGGGCTAGGATTTAATGAGGTAGGGGAAGGCCAGGTGGATATCCCCATACCTCTTTAATAACAATGGATAGGGTAGAATATTATTATATTATATTTCATCAGGAACGCCATGTCTTGTGAAGATGGATTTATAGTACCTTGAAGTTAGTTTAGTGAGGTCCCTCACCTTTGAGGAGACTATGCAATCCCTGAAGTCCATCTTTGCGAGACCCTAGCCTATGGCTAGCCTCACTATAAACAAGAGCCTGTGCTAGCACGGGCAACCTAAGCATATAAAGTCCTAGTTGAAGTCAATCTATTTAAGGCATCAACTTACTGAGCCAATACTGGAAATGGTTACTTGTCAACTTCAAGTTGTGGTTATGTCACTAAAAATCTTAGTAGTGGAGTTTATTTTTAATATAAGCTTTTTAGGTTCCTTGAAGTTTTTTGAACTTCTGAGGTACAACAGAAATAGAACGGTATCACGCAGGAATCAAAACGAAAACTTTTCCTCACTGTAGTGAAGGCTCGATATTATTCAACCTTGGATCTTTATTTTGACAGCAGATTGAAAACATCAATTTCAACCAATCAGGACGAAAGGTCTCTGGCAGTTGTGAGTACATGTTAGATGGCTATTGTGTCTTAAAAATTGGTGAACTTTTGCATGAGGAGAATTCCTCAAAAGCATATATTATTACAGTCAGTTTCAGTTGCCACAGCTGCAGCAACCAATGGTCGATTNAAATTTCAAGCATATTCGACAATCGCACTTCAAAAAATAGCAAGTTTAAAAAATGGCCTTAAAAGTGCATTTACAAAACTTTGCCCTGTTTTTTTACAGCCCCAGTAGAAAAGGCTACCTAAATACAGCTCCCCCTTATTTTTTTGACGGTTGGCACGCTTTTACTAATTTCACTCTAGTCTCAATTATCCAAGTATTTGGAAATTTACAAATTTTAACCAAGTTGCGCGTAAAGTTGAAGCTGACAGCGGTTCGAGGGTTGTGGCTTCATTCTGTTCTGTCATCCCTCAACTTTTTCTGAAACTAGTCGTGCTGTAATTCTGCATCGCCAGAATAACACTCTCAACAAACTAGATTTTTTGAGATTGATAAAAGAAAACCTAACCAATAAAAGTATATTTTCGCAACTGTATAAAGACATAGTAAACTGTAGGTGACTTGTTTGTTTACGTCTCCATGGTGAATTTTAACAGCCGCGGCTGTAACTCATAATACCATACCCATTTCTTTTAAAAAAGTTAAATATGGTCTGAGAGACAAATTCTGTTTTGTGTTAACAGAATCGCTGATATGTCATTCCATACTCAGTAGAAGTTGAAAGTCTCCCCGTGCTAAATCTAAGATGAAAGTCAGGTGACTTTGAACTCTGAGAACCACGTGATCAAAATCGGTCATCATGATGGATTTTGCCGACATTTGTGTTGTGGATTCTGTATGAATTATGCTAGATTATTATCCAAAATATATCCAAAATGCAAAGAAAAAGTTCTCCAAAGCTATATTTGGAACATTTCAAACTCTAGCTGTGACAACTAAGATGATCAAAACGTAATAAAGCTGTCTCAAGTGATCAAGTGTTCTAGAATAT